TCCCCCCTTCCCCCCGCCCCCACCCCGCCCCTTGCAGTGATTCTCTGATCATCTCCGTCATGGACATGGTCACCAGCATCATCGCTGGATTCGTCGTCTTCACCACGCTAGGAGGGATGGCCAAAACTGTGGGGACCACCGTGCCCAAAGTGGCCAAGGGAGGTCAGGAAATGTCTCCTTCTCCTCCTCCTCTCCTCCTCTCCTCCTCCTCCTCCTCCTCCTCCTCCTCCTCCTCCTCCTAGGCGTACTACTTTTCAACCTCCTCATTCTCGTCTTCCTTCTCCACCTCTTCCTCTGCCATCTCCTTGTCTTGTTTTTCGTCATCTCCATTCCCCTCCTCCCCTACTGCTACTCCAACTCCTCCTTCTCCTCCACTTCTACCGCATTGTCCTTTTTCTCCTTTTCCTCCTCCATTCCCCTTTTTCTTCTCCTCCTCATTTTTTCTTGTTCTCCTCTTCCTCAAAACAAAATGTATTCTCCTCTTCTTTTTATATTGCCATCTCGTACCATCTCGTGATTTAAGATTTTCAAATAGCCATCAGCTCTGCATGCCTAGGTCCAGAACAATGTTGGATGAAAGGGCCTTTTCCATCTGTGCCCCAAAACTTTGGAACAATTTGGATTTAGCTGTTAAAATGTCTCTTTCAATTGATCAATTTAAATCAAAGTTGAAGACAATGTTTTTCAAGAAAAGTATATTTATAATGCTGGAACTCTATATCTGAAATATCTGCCAGGCTTAAAATTTTTATAAAATATTTATGCATGTCGTAGTGGTACTAAGCTTTAGAGTTGTTGTTGTTGTTGTTGTTTTGTTGTTGTTGTTGTTGTAGTTGTGTGTGTGTGTGTGTGTGTGCGTGCGTGTGTGTGTGTGTGTGTGTGTGTGAGTGTGTGAGTGTGCGTATGTGTGGTGGATGTTTGTGTGTGTGTGTATGTGTGTGTGTGTGTGTGTGTGTGTGTATGTGCTTCTGTGTGTGTACTAAACTAACCGAAAGTATCACCCCCTCCACCCCTCCGTTTCTCCCAGGTTATGGCCTGGCGTTTGTCGTGTACCCCGAGGCTCTGTCCAACCTTCCTCTACCCCAGCTGTGGTCGGCGCTCTTCTTCTTTATGTTATTTACCCTGGGCCTGGACTCGGAGGTGATCACATGCATAGATAGATAGATAGATAGATAGATAGATAGATAGATAGATAGATAGATAGATAGGTGGATGGATGGATGGATGGATGTATGGATAGATAGATAAATAGATAGATAGATAGATCTAGGATGGATGGATGGATGGATGGATGGATGGATGGATGGATGGATGGATGGATGGATGGATGGATGAAGAGAGAGATAGGTAGGTAGGTAGGTAGGTAGGTCGGTAGATTGATAGATAGATAGGCAGATAGGTAGATAGATAGATAGGTAGGTAAATAGATGGATAGATAGATAGATAGATAGATAGATAGATAGATAGATAGATAGATAGATATACAGACAGACAGACAGACAGACAGACAGACAGACAGACAGACAGACAGACAGACATTCACGTAATGTTATTTGTATGTTTCAGTTCGGCCTTATGGAGACGGTGATGACGTGTATACAGACAGACAGACAGACAGACAGACAGACATACATACAGACAGACAGACAGACAGCCAGACAGACATTCACGTAATGTTATTTGTATGTTTCAGTTCGGCCTGATGGAGACTGTGATGACGTGTATACAGGACGAGATCCCCAAGCTGAGGAACCACAAGAGCATCATGTCTATTGTGATGGGGGCCATTCTTTTCTTGTGTGCTCTGCCATGCACGTGTCCTGTGAGTTAATGTTGCTGCTGTTGTTGTTGTTGGTGGTGGTGGTGGTAGAGGTGGTGATGGTGGTGGTGTTGGTGGTGGTGTTGTGGTGTTGTTGTTGGTGGTGGTGGTAGGGGTGGTGGTGGTGGTGTTGTGTTGTTGTTGGTGGTGTTGTTGTTGTTGTTGGTGGTGGTGGTGATTGTAGTTGTTGTTGTGGTGTGGGGGTGTGGTGGTGTTGATGATGGTTGTGGTTGTAGTTGTTGTTGGTGTGGGGTTGTGGTGGTGGTTGTGGTTGTTGTTGTTGGTGGTGGTGGTGGCGATGGTGGTGTGGGGTTGTGGTGTTGGTGTTGGTGGTGGTG